CCCCTGAAAAGTGGAAGTTACGACATGCTTGGAGTTCGCACTCAAGTTCGAAACCCGTGCCCATAGCCAGTCATTGAGCCCGCCTGAATCCCAAGTTCCTGTAATATGGGTCAACACCCTTGCTTCGTTTGTCTGCGTTCCATCATATGAAGCAAAGGCAGCTTCATCACCAAGAGAAGATACTAGGTCCCATTCCTTCTTGTACCTGGTTCGGAGGGTCTCCGAATCAAGTGAAAACTGGGCTGTCACCGGCCTGAAGCTCTCAAAAGCGAGAAGCATTGATATGCACAAGGGAAAGAGCAGCAACTGACGGATGATAGGCGCCATAAAACCACCTGTAGAGACGAAAGAGAGATGTGATGGATGCCTTCTCAATTGATGGGTCGGCTGTAAGCACTGCTGTCGAGTTTTGCCGAGTTAGCCAAACCAATGACTCGTATTGGATTTATGACTGCTTTAATATGATTGGCCAATGGTATTTTGTAAACAACGTCAAATGCTGCCAGCAAACCAAGCAAACGGGCTGCTGGAGCAAACGAAGTGGAGTTTACCACAGAATCAGCCGCCACGTGTCCCCCCGGCCGCATCACGGAACTTTGTAACTAGCGCCGTCGAAAACGGTGGGAACCACCCGGCAACTAGGCTAGGCTAACTTGGGGCTAGTCTAGATGTTCAATATGTTCAAGGTTTTGACCAAACCCTTTTCAGATGACGCGGCGCCACCGCGCTGCACCGGCGACAATGTTCGTGCAGATTTCTTTTGGACGTTTAAAGCTGACTCATCATACTTGACTTGCTCAGTTTTGCGCCGTAAGGCGCACAAGATGCAAGACTGTAGAAAATTTAGCAAGGGTTTCAACAAAAAATAAATGCTGTAATCAAAACAGATGCAAACAGTCGGCATCGCTCTCTCAAACATACAGTTGGTCGCACATCCAGTTCTAAGCATTGAATTGGAAAACCACAGAAATGGCTCTAGCAGCGGAAACACTCTACTGTGCAAGAGCGCGCCTTAACTTCTCGCCACGTGGAAATAGTTTGCGCAGATGTCTGAAACCATGAACACGCTTCTCACCCACCCCTCTTCCTCGCCCTCTCAAAATAGTTTGTGCAGATCTCTGAACACCCTGAACACGCTGGAGGTGGTCACGCTTTAGCGAGTTGTAATTTTCATACATCTATCTAAGACGAGTAACATGCAAGAAATGTTGACAGCCCATAATAAAACAAGGAATCAAATTCGGCAATTCTATCAAGACTGCCTCGATAAATCTGTCAACAGGATCAAACGCACGTTTGAAATGGAACACACACACAATATGATTTTAAAATTAGGCGATGTTGCAGGAATTAAGGGACTTCTGCCCCTATACTCGATGTCGGATCTTGTCAATGCAGTTTGCCGCGGTTTGCAAAAAGCCGGAATCGTTGTGCATCGGTGTAAGGATCCCTACGACCTCTTAGTCGAATGGGGGAGTGTTTTGAAACGATCAGAGCATAGCAGCAAACGCATAGAAGCTTGCAATGATGTGCGTAAAAAGCAAGAAGATTCGATGGATAAAAAAGTCGCTGAGTTGCGGTACCTCATCTCGGATGACTTGATGCTCGACATGCTTGCCAATCCAGCAAAGTGCAAAACGTACCACCGGCTTGCCGCCAGCGCCAGAGGCTAGCAGCACCTTAAAAAAAGCTTAAGAAAAGTCGCTCGCTGAGTACGAATACGGGTCACCTGAACTTAAGCAGTAGGACTTGGCATTCGACTCTTCTTCGTAAGTGCAATACGCCTCATCTTTGTATCCTTGACATTGGCTGTCAACCTCGCGGCTTGGCTTGTTGATAACAATGCATCAAATTCTTCGAGTGTCAGTTTCGTTGCCGTCGTTCGGTAGCTTCCCTGGAATTTCATTCCCTCTGGCCTCCGATTTTCAGGTAACGCACGAAGAGAGACGGAATATGCGAACTGCTTGTGCTTGCTGCTTCTCGTCGTTTCCTGTAGCAGAACGCTGCATGCGTAGGGAAGGGTTGCGGACTTACGAGAATCCGTCTTGAGCAGTCGAAATAGAGAAGATCCAGCTCTTGAACCCGCCTGAACCACCCTCCCTTTTTGGGCATCGATCTCCAACCGCGTTTCACTCAGTCTCGTGGTTTGATCACTGGACTGCATGTCAAGAGCTTTGAGAACCCGAAACGAACGCCGGTGTTTACCTTCTTCGAGAGGCTGGTCCTCTTCCATAATCGAATGCAATGAAAAAATGCAGTAGGCCTCGGTATATAAATTCATCGCCCGGAGGCACTCCAGATAAATGTCTCGAACCTCTTAAAATCATGCCCAGTACCCGACCAATCGTCAGGCCGAATGCACTATTAAAGCCGAACATGCCCCCTTATCTGCCAGAATCCCTGGATCGGTATTTTCAGAAAATACCGCGTCTCTAAAATCCGACCTAATGCACTTTTCTCCGAATCAGTCGATATTTGTGTCCCTGCCGCTCCTAAAAACATGAACCGCCTCCCTTGGAAAAGCATGAGCTCGGGTTATGATGGTCAGGGGGACGTCGTTTTGAACTCGAAGTATTCTGAAAATACTATCTCATATATACATATATTCATGATATCCACGCAGGGACCAGCTGTGGATGATGACGTGAGAGTCGTTCACTGTGGCTCGGCCATGTGCCATGCAAAATTGCTGGAGGGAGAGGGCAGAGCCGAAAGTACGTGCGCTCAGTATGTCAAGTCTTTGAACGCGGTCCATCGCCTCTTGTGTTCGGCCGATACCCTGCCGGACACCCTAGATTGGATCAAAAATGATGTGGATCGGATCATCGATTTGATCCAAAAGCACTA